GCTGTTGTGTGTCTCTCCCTGTGTGTTGGTTTCACCATGGTTGTGATGACAGCCGTTAAACACTGTTGTGTGTCTCTCCGTGTGTGTTGAGCCCTGTTACAATTTGTGGTACATTTTATGTGATAGAAGTAGTGTGTTGTTATTGATTGAAGAAAGTGAGCCACCACTGAAGACAAGTTAGTATTTTTTATGTCTTGGTTAATCTTAAAAGAGCACCAGAGTCCACATTTTACAWGTAGAGCTTTTACAAAGTTGTTGTTCAGTGAAATAGGAGCGACAACAGTTTGTGAGGCTGCCTGCTTCACAAAGTGCTTCACTATTTTAAAGAGAAATGAGAAAATCATGAGTTTAATAACATTAAAAGTGTTTTAGTAAAATGTATTCTATCTTAAAAAATAAATCATACAGCAGTTTATTTAACTTATTTTAGGATAAATCTAAAAAAATACATTTKAGAAGCTGACATGTTGTCACTTTTGTCCCTCGCCTCGGCAACAGGAAACACTCTCTGTCCGTCACAAGTCCAGAAAGCTCCAACTTTCACATAGAAAGGCTAAAATCCACACTTGGTATGAGTCATCCATGTTGGAAACCTGACCGTACCATGTGGACATATGACATCATCAAAGCCCCACCCCCTGACAACAGGAAGTGACCTGTTTTTGCTTGGAAAGCTCCATCTCTGACCCTCTGGACCTAATCAACAACTAATTCAGTCAGAACACGGTTAAGAACTTCATCTCATTTCCTATGAAGAACAAAGACTTTGTTGGTGAAAGGCGTGGTCATGGTGGTGCAGTCAAGTCAGACGTCACGCCGTTGACAAACGTTTGGCTCTAAGTTTTACATATTTCAGCCAATCTGCACCTGATTCACTATGGTTCATCTTTATAATAACATTACTTTTACTACAACACTCTCACTAATCTAAACCAATGAATGATGCATCTCTACCAAGCTTAAAACATTGTGGTGCCTCAGTGAGCCAGCCTGCTGCAGGCCTGCAACAAGTTGGAGGTTTTGCTACTGGAAATAAAGATTTAAACAAATTATAGTGTTTTCATTAGAATTATATGTGAGCCTTCATATCAAAATGAYGATTAAGTCTAATTAGGTCAAAATGACCTAATTACATTTTCAGATTCTTGTCTTTAAAAGCTACATTTTGATACCTGGATCATTCTGATATCATAATTAAATCCATATATATGACTTAATTTGTCTTGTTGGTTACAATAATACATAAATATTTGGTCTGAATCCTAATTTGATGTCATTTTGATGAGAAATTTTTGATGTCTTATAAAGAGGAAACCTGAAATTATTTTTGAATATTGAGATTTACCAGCTGAAAAGAAACAAAACTTTGCTAACTCACAGGGAAAACCTCAAAAATTTAACCCGTTTTTTCACTCAAAATCAGGTTTTTTGTTGCTGCTGCTCAAAAAAGTGCTTCAAAACTTTGTTTTATGATTAAATTTCAGACAGTTCATTCAAATGATACATTAATAAGGCCTTTATTCATTATATTTTGACAAAATGCAATTTTTGTTAACATTTTAATCAAAACACTATATTTGCCATTTTCTCCTTAAACCACTTTTAGAGTTAATCCTGGTTTCGATGTGACGGGTCACATATTTGTTAAAATAAGCACATAATAAAGAGTCCAATCCGCAATGGTTGATGTTTGTCCAATTGTCCAACGTTACAGCCCGTTTCTTTCAGAAAAGACTAAGAACTCACCCCTCAGGAAAGAAGGCGTTGATGATTCTGTCTCCCAAAGGATTGATGGCCAACTCAGGGATTCTCTGGAAATCTTCTCGACTACAGAAATCAGGAAAAACAAGAATAAGAGTGCCATCCCTTCAAAAAGCACCACTCTGACCCACTGTCAGCAGAATAAACTCAGTAAGTTGTTGAACTTTGAGCTCTCGTTGTAAACACCACAGATCTAATGGACTTTTACAGAGAAACAACTGAAGATGGAGAAAGGAGAAACCTCTGACGTCACTTCACCTTTCACTTTAGAAGAAGTGGAATCTGTCTGAAAACAAGAGAACCAGCTTTACTTCAGACCACACCTGTACTAGAACTGGGCCATATCAGAATTTAAGTGGTGTATATCCGTCCATATTGATAATTACTGACTACTTCTTTTTTTACCCACATGAAATAAGGACCAGGAGAAAAAAGGCTGATTAATTCTGCCATTGTCTCCGTTCCCTCAGTGTTGTTTTTTATTTTGAAGCAGTTCTGAGGCACCTGCTGAAACATGAAACTGCTCAACAGGTTGTTGCAGTCGACCAATCACTGAGCTGATGCCACCAACCTTAGCTGAGCTGAGAGGCAGAGCTGATAAAGCTTTTCCTCCTGAACGCCGTGTGGTTCTGGACTGGACTTCAGTGAAATTATCAACTTTCTATTGAACGCATTTTCAATTGATATTGATCAGGTGTCAATATTAACCTTATTATCATGCAGCTCTAGACGTTGTTGATGTTACATTCTCACTTAAAAGTATAAATACAGCAGGGCTGCAGCTAACGATTATTTTAGTAGTCAATTAATCTATTGATTATTCTGACGATTAATCGGATATAAAGAATTGTCATGTTCTGCAGTAATTAAGCTTATTTTATTAGAAATACAATTATTTAATATTGTGAAGGGGTAATGAACACCTGCTGATGACCCTGCTACAATCAAAGTAAAATGACACCAGTTGTATTAATTAATGCATTTTAAACTACATTTGTTTGTATTTATATTTATATACAGTATGTGAGGTTCGAGGAGGGATTAATTAAAAACACTGAATCACTTTAACCATCAGTGAAAAATGTAAATGCTTAAATTTATTGTTGTGGACTGGAAAACTGTAACTTTTTTTTCCTTTGCAGGGTGGGGTTAGAAATTTAACAAGTAAAATAGGTCAAATAAACATTTGGGTGTTGCAATTTAGTTTTGTAGAGTACACTTGTTAATTGTAACAAAAAATTCATTTTTTTAAGACAGTTATTAGGTTGATGCAGGGCTCCTATTTAGGCAATAAAAGATTTAGTCTTGACTGCTGAGCTATAAACAAATATAACAGTATAATGAAGGCTAAAATCATAAAAACAGCAGCAAATAATTAAAAAAATCCAACTATCTTCTATAAATACTTTTAAACTTGAAATGTTTACTCCAAGGATCATTTCAACGAAGATAAAATCATATKAACAAATAAACGTGTTTCAGATCAAGCTGTCGATCTGTTGTTGTGTTTTTATTTTAATCTGACAAACTRACAGTAAGTGTTGTTTTTAATCACACAACTTACACASTGTTTAATYAAACCCTGCCAGGTCACAGTGATTAGTCAGCAGAAATAACATTAGTTTAAATACACCTCCTCCTCGTACACCTGTAATCTGACAGATTATCACAGATTTAGGGAAGGTAAACAAACTGTTGTTAGCTCCGGACCTGTTCGGGTCATGCAGCAGTGTTTTTGTTGCGGTGCAGAAACACTGAGGATGTGAAGTGTACTGCACGTTGTCATTTTTTCTGTTTAGTTTTTAATGTTCCCATACATTTTTTTAATTTGTTGTTTTTTTGGGCACTTCGTTTCGGCACTCTTCGTCTTCTTCTGAAGCTAAATATAGCTCTTAGCACGCATACACACATTGACAGTGTAACTGTTAGCGGAAGCGCRAACACAGGAGCATTGTGTGTAACACAAAAAACATTGTGGGTGGATGAAAGTGTGCTGATTATAACAGCGTGTATTTTTTGCGAAGCTTCAAGGCAGATAAATTTGCCTCGAGGATTTTTTCTGATCGAATTAGTCGAGGAATTGTTTCAGCCCTAAAATACAGATGAATTAACAATCACTAATTAGTGTTCCTTTATTTAATCATAACTCCAGTTAAACTACATTTGATACATATAGTTTTTCTATTTTATCAGAGGGTTTTTTATTATTGATCATGAGTCTGTTGGGATGTGTATAGTTTCTGTTGCCCAACCCTAATGTGTACTGTATGTCAGTTTTAACTGTGCCGTGGGCTCTTCAGTGTTGGAGGAAGGAGCTCCACTGACAGAACAACACTGACATACTGCTTCAGATGTGTGGACAATACCCGGGTCAAAACCCAGGCTGTACAAAAAGAAATGTGTAGGTCTTCTGGACGGGTTCTTCTCTAACGAAACGTTTCGT